TCTTTTCGTTACATACTTGAGTACAGTATTAAACTCAAGATCAAATCCCTTATTAATAATATTACTTTGAAATCCTATAAATTACTTTTAGAAATAATCTTTAACATGACGCGTTAAATTACTTCTTTATCCTAATAGTTTATTCCTGCCAAATATTTTTGGCAAAAGATTAGGTTTAAAATTGATCTTGATTAATCATTAAATCAGAACTCAATGTTTGAATAGCATCAACATCCACACTTTATTATTCCTTAAATGCGCTCTATATCATCACCATGTGTTTAGATAATGTAATGTAAACAAAATTTTCACTTATTATTAAAGTCTCTATAAAATATCTCATAATTTGATGTGTATTTGTCTAATGATCTTTTTTGACCGCCAAACGACTTTTTTTAAATTTCCCGTAGGGTAAGTTATAGTAATCAGAAAAAATAAAAAATCAAAATCTTTGCATATCTCTACGTTTTAAGGTCTTCTGAACATTTTGGCATACCTTAGAAAAAGTGGATGCGTGTGTGTATATATGTGTGTGTGTGTGCGGATACAAATTTTCGTCGACAATTTCAGGAACACGGGTCAAACGATTTGTCAAAAAACATTCTATTGGCATTGATAAGGAGACGTGCTAATTAGTTTTTAGCAAAGGCAAGTCAGGTCTTTTCGAAAATACGGAGCAAAAAGTGCCAAAAATGGTAATTGATTTTTTAGCAAAACATTAAAAACATTTTATTTGTATGGACGAAATAAAGAACTGATGAAATTTTTGGAAAGGCAGGTCTGGTGGTTTCGGAGATCCAATAAAAAAAGTGAAAAAAATGCCATTTGGCGGACAAAAATGATCATTAGACATATGCACATGAAATTATCACATATCGTATAGATATTTTAATAATAAGAATAAATATTGATTACTTCTCTATGGGTTCCGTGCCAATGTTTATCAGTTACACTGCAACGCAGCGCCTACGCGTTTCGATATTTCGTTTCTACGCAGCTAACGTATTAAAATATTTAAGTATAAAAAATCAAATTTTTCAAAAAGGTCAATTCTTTCCAAAAATTTTAAAAATCCCAAAAATCAATTTTTTCCAGAGTTCTAAAAGAAAATTTAATCTTATTTAAAAAAATGTAATTTTTAATACGGGAAGTTCCAGCAATTTGCCTTAAGGCACAATGCCATGTACCACTAGTTTACTATTTTTATTGAATCTCCGAAACCGCTGGACCTGTCTTCCCAAAAATTTAATCAGTTGTTCATTAGGTCAATATAAATAAAATATTTTTTGAACTATTGAAATCGGACGCTCCGTTCTCTCAAAAACTGAATTACCATTTTTGGCACTTTTTGCCCCGTATCTTTGAAACGTCTGGATCTGCCTTTGCCAAAAACTAATCAGCACGTCTCCTTATCAATAAAAATTGAATGTTCTTCAAATAATTCAAATCGGTTGATCCGTGTTCTCGAAATCGTCGAAAACATTGTATCCGCACATACATACATAACACACACATACATCCATTTTTTCTAATGTATGCCAAAATGTTCAGAAACCTCTGAAACGTAAAGATATATAAAAATTTTCATTTTCGATTTTTCGATTACTATAACTTACCCTACAGGAAGTTGATACAAACGGTAACTAGTGGGGTGGGTGGCATCGTGCCTTAAGGCAAAATTGCTGGAACTTTCCGTACCGTAACGAAATGTTCGAGGAATAGTGAATGTTTTCAAATAGATTATTATAAATATTGGAACGTTGTCTAATATTCATAAGAATTATATAAACTGAACTGCAAAGTTAAAATTATTTCAATAAAGTATATTAGAATTTTAGTCAGAATTAAAAATAAAATCTGAATTATTTTCGATATACAAAAAAAAAAACTAAAAAAAAAAACATGATACAAAATTGTTTTTTCCAAAATCAATTATTTTGTTAAAACAAGCTGAAAGTTCTTTGAATCATTCAAATCGGACGCTTCGTTCTCTTAAAAACTGCCATTTTTTGCACATTTAGCTATGTATTTCCGAAACCGCTAGACTGCCTTTGCCAAAAACTAATAATCACTTCTCCCAATGATTACTAATTGAATGTTTTTTAAACCATTCAAATCGGATACTCCGTTCTCTCAAAAAGTCGATTTCTATTTTCTGCACTCTTTGCTTTGTATCTCCGAAACGGCTGTACCTGCCTTCGCCAAAAACTAATCAGCTCTTTTCCCTATCAAAAAGAATCGAAAGTTTTTTGAACCATTCAAATCGGTTGATCCGTGCGCCCTAAAACGTGACTGGAAATTTGTATCCATACATACATACACACACACAGACATCCATTTTTTCTGAGGTATGCCAAAACGTTCAGAAACCTTCAAAACGTCGAGAAATGTAAAAATTTTCAATTTCGATTTTCGGCCCATTACAATAACTTACGCTACGGGAAGTTAAAAACTGGTTCAATAGATTGACGATTTGTTTTATTTTATTTTCTAGTAACATCTGTTTAAATATTTTGCTCACGCATTCTCCTTGAAATGTGCTACTTTATTCATCAGTGTTCATACAATTTTATAATATATGTACATACGCGCAAAACCGCTAATTAAGGTAGGTCAGTAAGTAGTCGGTTTGAATATCGGCAAGAGTGCGAGTAAACAATTGTCTAGTAAACATATTATGAAATTAATTATCGAAATCTTAATCTATATCACTTACAGGCTCAAATATGCTCCTCGTAAAGAAGGCATAGCTCTTCTCCTTTGGATAGGAGGGGACAGTGATAGCGAAAGGGACTGGTTAAGGGCGATTTGTTGACTCCTAGAATATAGCCTAGGTGTCTTCTCCTTTGACTGTTCAAAGCAGTTATCGTTTGCGGCAATTTGCGATGATTTATTTGTAAATTCCACTGGTAACACGGGCGCCAGTTTGCAGTGTCTCCGCACAGGTAGAGAATCGATCCGTAAAAATCTACCAAGCACATAATTTGATGTTATGATGAAAGTATGTCTGAGGAAATTACTGGACATCTAAATTTTAGACTCATATCAAGGAATACAAAAACTTTTGGCGATGTATAAACAAGATGATTCATGTTACATGAATAATTTAAATAATTGATTTATAGAGACATTGTTTGGGATCACTTTTCACTTGGACAATTTTGACATATAATTGCAATTCACTTGTTATTTTGATTAAACTTGTATATGAGTGAATTTTGTTACATGAACAAATGGCGCCCGTACGAATGACAGTAAGATAACATTTAAGATCGCGCATGGCATAAAGTATCTCTACATCTGTCAGTGATGAACATAAAACGGCTCCGGACCGTATTTACGTTCATTTGCTTTATTCTTTGTAAAGAATAGAGCAGATGAACTCATTGAATATTTATTTAATTACCTTAAATATTCTGTATTCAATGCTTGAATTAGTACTATTTTCTAAATCCATCACATGAATATACATAAATAACTCACTGCTTATTATTTATTTTTACATCTAAAACAATAGACTAATGATAAAAAAACACCAACAAAAGCACACAAAAACTAATGATATACACCTAAGTCTGTTTTTACACGGTAGATTGGTTCCAGAAAAAGCCGTGTAAAAAAAAGGGGAAAAAAAGACATTGATCTTATACAAAAATGGGTGATTTGTTCCTAATCTCTAAAACATATTAAAATTAGAATAATTTTCAAGAACAAGAATTCATGTTTATTTTTATAATAATTCCCCTAAATTAGTGCTATTCACATTTGCTTTGACCAGTAAAAATTGTTTGTACGCGCTAAATTCACTTAAATCTTTAATTCAAACCGTGTTATATCAAAACCGTGTACAAAAAGACCGTGTAAAAACAGACTAAAGTGTACTGAAATTACTACTATTTCTCAACTTTCTACTAATTACTACCTATTATTGAATTACTACAATTACTATTTAGTACTAAAAATATAACCCAATATAATGTACAAAATATAAATAACTCACTTCTTATCAAAGTTTCATCGAAATTTTGCGTCTAAAACAGCATGCTAATAGTAGGAAAACACCATTGAAAGAATACAGAATATTGTAATAATGCTATGAAAAATCTGTATTAAATGCTTTAATTAGTACTATTGTTATTAACTGATAAATATTATTCAGCTCAAAATATAACATATGTAAAACGCAAGATATAAATAAATCACTTCTTAATAAAATTTCAGCGAAAATTTGTGCATCTAATGTCTCGTTTCCATTGCACGAATCAGCCCGGCGAATCTGTTTGCAAAGTGCGCAGACAAAATTATTCTAAACAAAAGCAAACCACGCGCACGTTGCGAGCAAGATTCGCCGTGCGCGTTCGTCCAATGAGAATTCACCATAAAACAAAAGACTAATGATAAAAAACACAATTGAAATACAGAATCTAATGAATAAATTGTATTGAATGCTTTAATTGGTACTGTTGTTCAAATCCATTAGCCGCTGAATAGAATTTAGTACTCAAAACATTTAATATGCAAGATATAATAACTTACTTCTTATTAAAATTTTAGCGAAAATTTGTACATCTAAAACAACTGGCTAATGATAAAAAAGCATCATTGAAAGAACACAGAATTTAATGATACTTTGCACAAATTATATTGAATGCTTTAATTAGTACTATTGTTCAAAGCGTACCTGATAAATATCTTTCAGCTCAAAATATAAGCTAATATATAAAATACATAAGATATAAATAACTCACTTCTTATTAAAATTTGCGAAAATTTTACTAATGACTCGTCTTCTATGCACAGACAAAATTATTGTAAACAAAAGCAAACCACGCGCACGTTGCGAGTAAGATTCGCCGTGCGCGTTCGTCCAATGAGAACGCACCATAATAAAAATGACTAATGATAAAAAAACAATTGAAAAAAACACTTTGAACAAATTGTATTAAATGCTTTAATTAGTACTGTTGTTCATAACCATTAGCCGCTGATACAATTTAGTACTCGAAACATTTAATATGCAATATATAATAACTTATTTCTTATTAAAATTTCAGCAAAAATTTGTACGTCTAAAAGAACTGACTAATGATAAGAAAAGCACCATTGAAAAAACACAATCTAATCATAGTTTGAACAAATTGTATTAAATGCTTTAATTGGTACTATGGTTCAAAACGTACCTGATAAATATCATTCAGCTCAAAATATAAGCTAATATATGTAGTACACAAGATATAAATAACTCACTTCTTATTAAAATTTGCGAAATTTTTTACATCCAATGACTCGTCTTCTATGCACAGACAAAATTATTGCAAACAAAAGCAAATCGCGCGCACGTTGCGAACAGGATTCGCCAATGTTCGTCCAATGAGACCGCACCATAAAACAAATGACTAATAATGAAAAACACAATTGAAAGAACAGAGAATCTAATGAACAAATTGTATTAAATGCTTTAATTAGAACTGTTGTTCAAAATCATTAGCTGCCGAATACAATTTAGTACTCAAAATATATAATATGCAAGATATAACTTACTTTTGAATAAAATTTCAGCAAAATTTTGTACTTCTAATACAACATACAAATGATCAAAAAAACATCAATGAAAACTGATATGATAATTCTAAAGTTCATTTGTTTATACTTGATCATGCAACACTTCAGAACGACTTCTATTACATATAAGTATTTGGAACTATCTATGTATCTATGCAACTATCTATGTATGTTTATTTATCTATGTATCTTTTACCACGTTCATAACGTGGGTAGAATATGCATATTATACTAAAATGACAGTTCTCAAAATCAGATTTTATGGCTTAGATGATTTATAAACTGGCGGAACTTCTTGTTCAATATTTATAATAAATGTAGAGACTTGAAAGATAATAAAATGAATAAATTTTGCATAGTTTTTATACTACAAACTGTTTTCATTATGAATGACACTATTCATTTCATAACCGGTATAAGGACATTTTTCGCCTTTGCCTTCAATGCTTTTATATGTTTTGCTCTACTTCCATATCCAACATGGCGCTTGTGAAAAATGTTTTATTTACTGGAGAGGCTCTATTTTCCATGTCTTAATCATTATAGTTCGTTATGTAGTATAACAATAATTCAATAATTTATTATAAGCAACTATTTTTAAGTAATTTATGAAAATGTCATCTGAAAGGTATTTAAACTTTATTTTATATATCCTTATTACAATCGATACCCGATAAAAATTGTCACCCCGTTTGGGCGTGACAATTTCATTTAAATTCATTATAATATGCTTTGGATTTATTTTTTTAGAATGGAGTGGGTTGAAATAATTGAACCAAGAACTAAGGAACATATGTACGCAAATCTGACAACGGGAGAATGTGTTTGGGATCCTCCAGAAGTAAGACAAAGTGCTACAAAATTATGATTTGCCCATAAACTTTCGAATTTTGTGAATATGTTTTCGATAGTGTGTCAAAGACTTTGGGTCTCCTTTTGTGCATTGTGATTTTATTTAAAAATTTGTGCTTTTATAAATATCATTTTGGAGAGAAAGTACTTATTCAAGTTTATACTAAATGTAATCAGGCAGAGTGAAAGTTATGCTACTAACAGTTGCAAATATTTAATATTGATACATTTTTATGATTCTGAAGACAGAATTTTAAAAATAGAGCTTTTCTCTATAATTTTATGTCAATGTGATTTTACATAGCAATTGTTTGATAGTTCAATAGAGAAGTGTCTGTCTGACTATCATTATACAAGATTTAGCTGTAATACTTGGTTATTTTTAGCTAATGAAACAAACTACAGATTTTCATATAAAATATAGTATTTTAATCTCCCAAGAATGTTTATTTGTAAAAATTCAACTTCATTACAAACGATAAAATGAAATATAGAGTAAAAGCTTATTATATTTTTTAGGGTGTGAATGTGAAACGAACAGATAGTTCGCAGTGGTGGGAATTGTTTGATGTACATACTAGTCGATTTTATTATTACAATGCCGCTTCACAAAGCACCGTGTGGCATAGGCCTATGAATTGCGACATCATACCTCTTGCCAAGCTACAAACATTGAAACAAAATACTGATCCTTGTGAAAAACATGACAGCACAACACATAATTCAAAAGCCCTTTTACAGGTAGTATATCTAAAAATAATTAAAATTTTATATATATATATATATATATATATATATATATATATATTTATATATGAACATATATTCATAGATTTCTCAACGGGATCAAAAATGTAGCACCAGTGCTATGAAGACAGATGCTACAACAACTCGTTCAAGCGTTGATTCGAATTGTGAAATGCTTACAAGTCCATCAGGCTACAACAGGTAATAATGTAAAACTTAATTAACTTATAAAAATACATCTTTTTGGAAAGAAATTATGAATTGCCTAAAAGATGAACAATGTTTATTACATGTGTTACACAAAAATTCATATGGTGTGGAATTCATGTAGTTATTATGATGTATTTTATCCATACTGAGGACAGTAGGTATAGAAGTTTTTTAAGAAAGGATCACAGAACATCAGGATTAGATTTGGTTATTAATGTTCTAGCTTCATGTTAAACCAATATCACTTTTATGATCAATTTACAATTTAGAATTCTATATTTCAGTGATTTAGTCACATTAGTATAATAAATTATAAAAACTTAATATTGGAAAGGTTTTCTCAAAACAATTCATGTATAAATAATCTTTAATAAAACTTAAATTATTCAGAGATCGTGTCACACCTGATGGTACTCGTGCAAGTGGATCTGAAAAAAGTTCACATAGGTATTGCAAACATGGTCATTCACATGTTGGACATTCAGGTCACAAACATACAGATAGCGGCAGATCTAGTGATTCCAGTTTATCTAGTGCACATGGCTATAGGCGATTACAAGAGTCTAGCCACTTACGTGTTTCATCAGGGGCATCATCATCACAAAGACATCGTGGACAATCAGATACTGGGTAATATTTCTTTGTCATAAGAATTTGTTTTAAAAAGTATTGAAATTCCAGTTAACAGTTATACATAAATATGTAATTATTTGATTTATTATAAAATTAGAAAATTATTCATAAAAAAATTAAGAAAACAAACTTGGTATCTAAGTATTTTTTTTTTTATTATAAAATATATTCATTATTATGAAATATTTCATCAAAATTCTTTTTAGCTATAGAATGCTACAAGAAAGTTCAAGTTCAAATAATTTACCCGCATTTAAATATGAGCCTCTTATCCACAGTGGACCACCACATTCTGCAAGTACTCCACAACTCAAAAAGAAACATGCCAGTGGTAGCTATGTGCAAGGAATAAACCATAAGGAATCTTATAAAGACCAGTATAAAAATGCAAATATAGGTAATCCTATAATTTTAAATATAGTCAACTAAAAAATAACTCAAATGTATTGTTTAAACAAGCTCTAGATGTTTAATATTCTAGAGATACTACTATTATCCTTATTGATTATGAAAATCAATTGCATCTTATTAACAATTTACAGGTCCAAATCAAATGCCTTTGGCGCGATCTGGTAGTTTCATGTCTTCGAGAGTTGATAACAGTGATGATTCAATGCATGAGAAATATTTTAAATCTGTTGAAAATACTCCTGTAAGCCGTAGAAGAAGCACAAAAACTTCCAACCAGAGTTCTAGTGATTCTAGTCCACATAGTCCTGATCACAATAAAATTAATAGGTAATCTTCTTTTTCACACTATTTATGTATATATTATTGATACAGTACAACTCCAATTATCCGAACTCCGATTATCCGAATCACTTTCAGAAAAAAAATTGTCCAAAAAAGGTCTAAGTTACAGTTAAAACAGCTTACATTGACGGAGATGTTTAATAAACAATGATTTTTATTTCTAAACTTGTACATAAGTACATTTTATTTATATTTAAAACATGTAAAAATATCATGTTTCTTTTATTTAATTCAATAAAAAATAGTGCAATATCAAAACGTAACTTTTTTTCTCTCCAATGGCAATTTTTAAAAAAAACTCCGATTATCCGAATATTTGATTATCCGAATGGGTCCCGGTCCCCATTAATTCGGATAATTGGAGTTCTACTGTACCAGATAACTATGTCACAACACTACCAGGGCCAGATTAAAAGTCTTTTCTTTTTTAATCCTACAGTTTAACTTGTTTATTTTCAGGACAGGTGTAGAAATTACTATATAATATATAGATAGATAGATAGATAGATTCTTTATTCAAATTCAATATTTACAATTTAAGTCAATACAATTATTTTATATATATATATATATAAAACATTTAATATATATATATATATATATATATATATATATATATTAAATGTTGAATATGAACAATACAACACTCAGATTTTTAACACACCCTTTATTTAATAATTACAGACGATTTGAGACGGTGGTATGCCTCATCTTCAAAACAGAAAAAATTATATACTAATATATTATTTATTATTTGAAATTATTAAAATATTAAAAATGTATTAGTATATAAGTTTTACTGTTTTGAAATTACCCTGAAGATGAGGCATACCATGGTCTTGAAACGTCTGTAATTATTTATTAAATAATGTGTGTGTTAAAAATCTGAGTGTTGTATTGTTCATATTTAACATTTAATATTCGTTCCACTCATATCACAAAATTCTATTATATATATATACTAAAATTGTTTATTTTTGAATGAAAAAACAGATATTGTTTGAATTTTTCAGGCATGTACCCCACATAGAAAATCAATTTGCAGCTAAAGGAGGAGAACATAAATGTAACCAGATAACAAAACCAAACCGTCCTAGTCTAGTCAGTTCTATATCCCTTGCCACTGAATCTCTGTGCCAACCTGTCAAGTCGAATATTAATAGTATAGACCGACTCAATTATGGGATAGATAAATACAACATTAAATGTTCCAGTAATAAACATAATTCAGATGTTACCAGTAGGTACTTCCATGACAAAAACATTGATATTGAAAATGTTGAAAAACAATCGAAATATTTAGATAAATTTAACTTTGATGATAAAACTGGTGCTAAAACTTCATATTCTTTAGATAGAGATGCATCAAGTTCTGATGCTGATTATTTTAAATATTCTTCCAATTCACGTAACAAAACAAAGTCTGATGTAGAAACATTTAGTAAGATAAAGCATAACTCAGCTCCTGAAGGTTATAGACAGCAGAGTCAAAAAACTGCATCAGATAATTATTTGTCAAAAATTAGTTCAGGACCATATCTCAGTAAACCAAATTTAGAAAAGCACAACTTAGAATACTCAAAAAGTGATAAGAAAAATAAGGAAAAAAATACAATACAATCTAAACTTGAATTAGATGTTAAGGTAGATGGAAGTAAACAGAAATATACCATTGAGCATGATAATGGTAATAATACATCACCATTGTACTCCAATTGGGACTTAGAAATGCAAGAACACTTATTGCCTTTGCAACATTATATATTAGAGCAAGCTAAATTATCAGGTAAATAGGATCAATTATTTTTAACATACATTCAGTACTTAATAAAAGCTAACAGTTAATTTTTATTAACATTATCAAATGGTATTTATAATAACAACAAATATATCACAGGTTATTCATACAGTGCGGGTGATCCTTTAGATAGTGACTCCTTACATTCAGACAGTCAATCAGAAGAATCACTTAGTGGTCATGAACCCGATAATGAAGATTCAGATCATTCTGGCAGCAATGATGATTATTTAACACATCACTACAGTTCTGCACAAGGTAATAAATATTATTAATTTAATATGATAAAGTTATTAAACTTGATTCATTTATATTTTTAGATTATGGTGCCCATAGTGTTGCATACTACAATACTACTCTGCAAATATCAGATTCCAAACATGACGATAATTCAAGCAAACAACCTATTTCCGAAAATAAATTGGAACCCGAGCTTACAAGGCTCTCAATAGATACAGATTCTTTGGATGCAGTAACTTTATCTCAAGAACAAGCACTATATAGTCCTGTTCAAGCGCTTTCGAAACCAACAGCTATTAATATTAGTTCATTACCAGTAAAAGAGTGCGATATAGAACAATTTGCTCATGACAATCTGAATTTACATGCAAAAGGCATATTCAGGAAAAAGGTAAGCAGTTTTTTTAGTAGGTGAAATATGGACAAGTTCGTATATACTGCAAAATGACACAGTGGCCTTATTTAAAAATTGGCTAGTTTTAGTAACATTGCTGCAACTGTATAATGTGAGAAAAGCTACAATCACAATCCTGTTAGATGTTGAGCATCCGTGGCACAGTCTTGTCGTAGTAGTCAATTCAAACATGTATCTCACCTTCAAAAGTTTATTTTGAGGGTCGTTTTGTCATGTTTTTTGGGGATTTATATATTGTTATTTGTAATTATTTCTATTGAAGTCAACAATTTTATTGCATTTTTGTTCACATTTGGGGAAAATGACAAAATACTATTTTGCAAGAACTACAGGCTACTTCTTTTCGGGGCTAAAAGAAAGACAATTGAAACTAGTAAAGAGTGATTGAACTAACTTTTACTATAACTACTTTTAAGGACAGACCAAAAGATCCACCTATAATAAGAAGAGACTTGCATTTTTTTCAAAGACCTAGTTTCACATTCAGAGCTTTTTAATAGTTAGTTATGATGTGTAATTTGTTCCCTTTGTAATCATGCTTCATGTGCTGATGTCTCAAAGAGAAACAAAAGATATGAATGGTCTTCTTTAAAATTTGCATCTCACTGTTTTTACCTTATTTGTCATTTTGTCCATAGTATATGTACAAAATGGTATTTGTAATTGGTTGCATTTTTCCTTATTATAGTTCATGCTTGATTAAAAGTCTATGTTACTGGTACTCAATAAAATTAAGATGAGTAAAAACGATTACAGTATCATTAAATAAATAAATAACATTAAAAAGCAAAATGCCATGGCATTTTGTCCATACTTCTATACAAAATCCGAAACTTTTATTTTAAATTTTTATTCATTACTTTCTTTTGTATTTTTTAATATCAATTACAAACTTTATAATTGTTTCAGTCAAGTGTTCGTGATATGTTGAGTTGGACAGGAAATGCTATAAGCAGACCGATGTTGGCACTTTCTAGAGATAAAATAGCAAAGAAGGATGCAATTGAATTATTTAAACGTGTACAAATTTATATGGGTGATCGAAAAGCTAGGCCTGGTATGACATTAAATTCGGTCGCAATGGAAATTATTGCTACTGCTTTTGGTAATCCAGCGTGAGTAAAAAAAACTATTTTAAAAATTATTATTGATATGAAAATTGTTCTATTCTAATTATAAACATATTATTAGATTCTGTTGATATATATATATATATTAGGGTGGTCCTTAAAATGGTCATTTTCGAATTTCCTTGCTCCCAGGGGCTTAAATGGTTCCAAATAGATAAAAAACAATTCTCTACAAGTTTTAGCTCTTAATATTAACGTTTAGATAGAGCGCAATTCAATCAAAGTTTGTATGGAAAGAGCATGGAAAAAATTTTGAAAATTAAAAAAAAATGTTTCAGGTATAAGTTAGCGACAAATGAATGAGTTTTATTTATTCATTTGTTCGCTAAATTACATCTAAAAAACATTTTTAAAATTTTTGAAAATTTTTCCATGCTATTTCCATACAAAACTTTGATTGAATTGCGCTCTATCTAAACGTTAATATTAAGAGCTAAAACTTTCAGAGAATATTTTTTATCTATTTGGAACCATTTGAGCCCCTGGGAGCAAGAAATTCGAAAATGACCATTTTAAGGACCACCTTAATATATATATATATATATATATATATATATATATATATCATCTGACCCCTTACACAAGAAATAGGTTCCATAAAAAATTGTCAACTCAAAAAATTCACTTTTATATGAAAAAAACGTGCTAAACGAAAATCACTATAAAAAACCCTTTTTGTCAGTTCCCTATATTTTTCATTGCAACATTTCTACAATGAGAAATTGTAGACATTCCAACAGATGCACTTTTTCCAATTGAGTCTTAGTTTTTTTGATTGTTTTCATTGTAACTAATTTTTTTTATTGAATAAAAAATGCAACATCCATTGTTCTTTCATTATTACAGACACCTTTAAAAATTTCAATTTTGGTTTTTAAAGATAAAACTTTTCTTTTTTTCTCTAGTTTTTTATTTTTATCTTTTGCCATTGATGAACTATAATTTTTTTTATAAATTATAGATTTTGTAAAAAATAATTGTTATTTGCTCACCTTGAATAAATTTACACTATCAATTATATATTAAAACTAATCAAAAACTAAGTTTAAAAACATTGACGCTCTTTGTTTTGGTATCTAAACAAACCAGCTTATACACATATAAATTTAGTTTCAATCATAAAAAGGGGAGTTTCCATCTTATCTACATATTTCCATTATAGACATAAACTACTAAGAATTTGTAACTGAAACATATATTTTGTAGTATTGTATTTTGACAGTAAAACATTGAAAAAGTCATTGTAGATATAAAAAAATTATAGCTTAGTATTTATAATTTTGTGCAAATAAATAAAATAAAAAAATTATTTTCAAAATCCTTGCAAGATTGAAAAAGTGTAAAACGAATATTGTTTAAAGCGGGAGATATAATATAATATAATATATAATAAGTATGTAATGTTAACAAAGTTAACACTTAATAATGTTACTTAATAATCTACTATTAATTATTAACAATGTCTGTAACTTTTAATAAATAATCATTTACTATCAGATTACGAGATGAATTATATGTGCAATTGTGCCGTCAAACTACAGAGAATCCTCAGAGGGACTCCTTGCTTCGTGGTTGGGAATTACTAGCCATTTGTTTATCTTTTATACCCCCATCATCAACATTTCAAGCTGCTTTACTTGGTTACATGAATAGGCATAGAGATCCAGCTTTTGCTACTAGTTTTCCAGAAGTATGATTCTTTTTTATATCATGTACTTATATTTTGTAATTTTGTATTTATAATAATTTTGACTTATGACTTATTTCTGCTAGGTTGGAAAGTGGCCCATACATGTTCAAGTATCACATTATGCAACTGTTGCTTGTAATAGGTTGGAAAGAATTGGTTGTGCGGGTAAGAAACAAGCACGTAGAGCATCATCTGATGAAATTGATCAGTCACGGGTAAGAAAAACTTAATTTATATTTTTTTTATAGTAACGTTTAGATTTTCAATTTTTTTTTATGAAAATTATAGTTATTTTCATGCTTTTCAAATTCCAAACAAAAAATATAATTAGGGCAATGCAATAAAATTTTAAAATGTTTTAAAAATAATTTTATTAACCAATTTTTTTTAGTAGTTGATCAAACATTTATGTTGATCACATTGATTTTGTGATGTCTAGGATCAAAATATCGAATTATTTCAAGAGCATTAGTTTTTTTTTTGACAATAAGTAAGGTCATTTTCATACTTTTGTCTTTTATTTGAAATTTCAAATAAAATAATGATTATGGGGAAGCAAAAAAAAATTACCTCTTACAAAATAATTTTATCAACTTCTCGAATGAGAAGTTTATATTTATTTATTTATTTATTTATTTTACAAGCCGTCAGTATAATGATATTATAATAAGGCTCAAGTCAATTTTTAGCAGATTTAATACAATTTAAATAACTCGTATTTACTATAAACTTATTTATATTTAGTTGATTCTAATTATTTTTAAATATAGATAAACTAATTATTTTTAAATATATTATTAAGCTTCACATTACTTTTATAATATAATTATTTTGTTTAAGAAATTTTAATATTTTTTAATATTATTAATATTTTTTTACCAACAATGTGATAAGTATTTTTACAATATAAGTATTTTTTTTTACAAATTTTTAGGTATTTTTATGAAAGAAATATTTTGTTTCTGAATTTTTTAAGTGTTTCAAAATTATAAGTTTTTAGTTATATAATTAATACGTATTTTAACAATAATAGTTATATAAAAATTGTAATTATAAAAATGGTAATAATAAGAGTAATTTAGAAGTATTTTTGCAACAGAAGTATTTAGTTAGAGAATCCGGTTTACTAATTTTAAGTTTTTTCGACATTCCAAGTCATTTTTTCGTCGACGTTTTCTTAAAAATCGACTGCAGTGATTTTATGTTTTAGTTTTGCAAGTGATCGCCATAGCCGTTTTTTTTAGAATGTCCAAAAAAGTTCAAAATTTTTGCGCAGCGTTTTCGCAAAAATTTTCAACCGATTTTGAAAATTCAAAATTCCTTCCAAAGATTAGTTTTTGGTAAAGATCTGTTGGGAGGTTTCTTTGTTGAAACTGTTGAAAGAAAGTTTTTTTGACGATTTTTGTAAAGCTTTGTGCGACGACTGATTTCATGGTCTGAAATAACATGCTAAATTATAGACCTAAAATAATTGGTTGAATTATAAAAACTCATCAAAATTTGGAGTTAGAACTGCTAATTATCATTTACGTTCACACTCCAGTAAAATATATTTTTAGAAAACGAAGTATAATAAAATGTGTTAAATAAAATAATTTAATTTACACAATTGTAGATATTATTTGTTTGTGAACATTTGTAATATTAATAGAATATCGCATTGATTAGGTTTAAGTATGCAAAATACTAAACTCACAACAATTTTTTAATCATGCATTTACATTGTTTATTGAAAACTTGATTTTTTCAGTTACAAATATTTCACCCATCAATGTTCGGAAACACACTGGCTGAAGTTATGGAGTTACAAAAGCTTAAATTCCCTCACAAAAAATTACCCTGGGTTCAAGTTGCTTTATCTGAACAAGTAAGAGATTTACTTTATCATAGTGTATTTTGTTTATCATAGTTAAAATTTCATTAAATATACTTAAATATTTTTAAGATATAACTTTTATAATATGACTTTTTTATTCTAGGTTTTACGATTGAATGGCTTTCAAACAGAAGGTATATTCAGAGTATCAGCTGATGTAGATGAAGTAAATACGTTGAAAAGCAAATTAGATAAATGGGAGTTACCAGAATTAAGCAGTAGTATGGGTCAGTTTGTTTCCATTTTTGGCCAAAGATTCTAACTTTTGAACAATCAATAATATTTTGTATTAAATTTTAAGATGCCCATGCTCCAGCAAGCTTACTAAAACTTTGGTACAGGGAATTGTATGAGCCTCTCATACCTGATGTTTTGTATAATGAATGTGTCACTACTGAAACGCCACAACATGCTAATGATATAGTAAACAGATTACCTGCATTAAACCGAGTGGTAAGCAACTAATTATTTATTTAAATGACCGACATAGTGACTTTCAGCCTTATTGTTTTAATTATTATAGCGCAAAATTATTTTTTCTAACAATAATTTGATAAATACTCAACTAAATTTATTATAAACAAACTCTACAAAAGTATCAAACTGTATTAAAATGTGATCGATTATAAATTACAAATTTCATTAATATTTAGCTTTATACTTTTGTTTAGAGTTTATATTTGTTAAATTAAATTCTACAATGGTGATTAAATTCCTTTTTCAAAGTTATCTATATATTTTTTTTATTGATATTATGAATAGCAATCAAAATTATACAATTTTATAGGCTAGTAGCATATGATTAAAATAAAGCTGATAATATTATTAAAATATATATATAAAATAATTATCTGTTTGTTTTTATTTATATTCGAATTTAATATTTTGGAAACGCCCCCCTGAGGAGGCGCGCTCCACGAGTTGTAATTCACTGGACTAATATGTTGAAAGCATTTATAGCAGTAATATTATTATATAATATTTATTTTATAGGTTCTTATATATTTGGTCCATTTTTTGCAACTATTCTCTCAACCTGATGTTGTGGCAAGTACGAAAATGGACTCAGCAAATTTGGCCATGGTGTTTGCTCCCAATTGTTTGAGATGCACATCATCTGATCCTCGAATAATATTAGAAAATGCCAGAAAGGAAATGGCTTTTATGCGCATGCTAATACAGCATTTGGATACTAGTGAAGTTAAAGATGTAACATAATTAGCACTCTTATTATTTATTTATATACTATTTTATTGACATCAATATACCAAAGAATATGACGTCATATTGCAACATTTGCTCTCAAATAATATTTACACTTAGTTATGTAAGAAAATGTTAATGTATCTGATCGCTTTGTGATATATTAATCAAATACCAACAAAATCAGAGTAAATAATTATAGTATTTATAAAATATTTGCATCAGTAATTTGCAAATAACAGAATAGTTTTATATGTTTGATTAATCAATCAATCATATATTTATGTTAAGATAATTTATTATGGAAGGTGATTACTGATAGTGTTAAAGAATCTTAAAAATTGCTGACTTGAATGTTTTTTATCAGCATTTATTTTATTACAAACATTTCTTATATCTGAAATGAAACTAGTCGTATTGGTAGTATATCAATACTGAATATCTAACTTTAATGTATATATTTTACAATTATTTACCATTTTGCAAAAACATAGAATCTCATATTTTGTTTTATGTAAATAATAAACAGTAGTATAATAATATGTGGGTTTTACTTCAATTGTTTGAACTGCATTTTACAAAATATTTTTTACAGGAATTTAAGAGTATTTATTCTTTGGAAGCAAGCCTTTTTATTTTAACCTACCTCAAATATTCTTATAGGTTTCTATTTGAATTATCTTTTGCAATTAGTTTCTGAAAAATATAATTTAACCCAATAATTCAAAGAACAGATTTATTGTAAAATTATAGAACTCATTTATTATGTTCTATTTATTATGTACAATTTAAGAGCATCATCACGATAAAAAAAATACTTAAAAGTATATTTTACATCTACTAATTTAAAAAAACTAACATATATAGATAATATGTCTATCACAATCTTAGCTTTTGAAAGGTACTCCTTAGAGCATCTCCACTTCGCCCATATATAATTTTAAACTATGAAATAACATTTCATATAATTAATGCATTAAATTAACCTTTACAATTATATGAATAATCATAAATTCATATATATGTGTAAATATTATTAATCACATTTCATTGATATCTTAAAATATAAAAATTATGAGACTTTGTTTTAAATTGTCCATATTGTATTCAGCTCATATAAAACAAATTAAAATAAATTAAACTAAACAAAGTTCTTTTTCTGATAAGTTCAGATTATAAATGCAGTAAGAGTTCATTAGGAATTAAGGCCCTGCCCTAATTCAATTATTGGGATTCTTTCTTGAATATTCCACAAAATCTTTAAACGCCTGTTGCATTTCAGCTCCTAGTTCATTGTCCGGGTCCCACAAAGTATCATCATCAACTTCAGCCTTCGAATTGTCGTTAAGATTACAGTATAAAAAGGAAGTTTCCTCAGCAGTCAACACTTCCCCATCTGGTCCATAATAGACTGTATCATCGATATCAGTAATTTCCGAGTTGTACTCCGAATATCCAATGCATTCGGCATCACCACTAGCTCCCGGGTCACTTTCTTGGCTGTCACCACTATCAGACACGTAACCCCACCCACTACTAGAAAGATTTAATACACTTTGAATTAGTATTGATGTTTTGGACTTGTTGTCCGTCATCTTGTGTTTAAGGTCCTTAAGTAAGCGTTCCATAAGTTTAGGGCAAGCTAAATGCATATAATAACCACTTAGCTTCAGTGCTTGGCAGACTGCCTTGATATTATTCTCTTGGCTAAAATTCAAATTGATCACATCAGTCATAGTCTGAAATATTAACTCCATGAACTCTACTAAGTCTTTTAATGGCAACTTTCTCTCGCGAACAAAATTGTAGAGCAATTCACAGCAAGTGGTAACCAGTCCTACCATAAATGAAGAATCTTGAGACTTATCTGTGTCTTTTCTATATTGTAGATACAAATGCCCACACTGTTCAATAACCATTTGATGGAATTTGGGAGCCGTTTCATCAACGAGTGCACAAAGCCTAGCGCAACTGTACTGGAAATGTGGTCGTTTTACTGCTTCAGTAACCGCAAGCTTTGTAAGTCTGTCTAACATCATAGAGTCATTTGCACCTATAGCAGCTATCTCCGCTACAGTCGCCCTTACACTATCAAAGTTGGCGCTACTCGCCTGGAGCTCGTCCATTATATGAATAAATTTAGTTACGGGGTTTGAAGCAGTATCCGAAGAGCCCAAACCTCTGCGCCCAACTTTTAGCCGGTCAGATATCGACGATTTGAAAGGGCGAGGGCTATAGTAAGGCGAGTCTCCAGCTCCAAAATTATGCTGAAGATGGCTAACTGGCGTAAACACAGTATTGTCCCTTGGGATGAACTCCTCAGCAAATGGTGACAGCGTAGATTGCGCTGCCAAAGACTGCGCACTGGCAGAGCAGCCCATGTCAGGACGATAGTCTGACGCTGCTTTTTTGCCGACCAAATGTCTGGGAGCTCTAATTTGACTAGCGTGTCTGGGCGGCTCGACTTGCCTTGCACTTTCAGTTCTAGTATTATGCATGCGTAAATGGGATGGGGGTGGTGCGCGCGGGTATCTAATTGATGGAGCCCTAAACTCTCTTCGCTCTGCTTCGCTATCATCATCCTTAACCTTCCGTGAGTAAGCAGATTTATCTTCAGTGTCACTCATCTTGTTCACCTAGCGAGTAAAGTTTCTCGTTACAAATATCGTCAAACAAACATGTCACGTGAAAAACGAATTATCTATTTAGTATTGAAATAAGTAGTAAATGGCTAATCTATTACACATACACAATGGAATTCAAATGAAAAAAATAAAGTGCGATGGCTTACTAGTATATATGTAAGTTTACATACCTACTGTCATTCACTACTTTAATGTTGAATTATTTTAACCGAAATGTGGTTACCGTATTTTATTTACAGTTAACAAAATAACTATCTTCGATTATATCAAGAAACAAAACACAACTTGCGCTTGTGATCAGATGCACGTAACCATAATAATTGTACAAGGAGATCAAACATCTAACTTGCTTGCAAGTGGCAGAGAATAAATTTCGCTACCAACCTTGTAAAAACATGTCAATAGCATGAATTTAGTGACATAAGAAAATTTCCTAAGGCGGATATACATCGGTGTATGAAAATTATGACAAGAGGATAACAATTAACGAGCGATTAATTAGTGAATTATAACTAGTTGAACAAATAAAGCTACAATCCTTAGATATTACTTTCGAAGATAAGCAAAACTGTAAAACTAACAAAAACTTGTTTGAACTTACATCGAACTGAAAATTTACAAAATGTTCAATTGAATTCATTTATTGAATAAATATTCATTTAGCCAATGAATCAAATTTATATTATACTCTTCCTTTGTCTATGCTAAGAACTTATATTTGTGCAAAATTAGATACTGTTTGTATAATGAAATTTAGAATTGAATTAAGCAGAAAATGGCTAAATTATTAAACACACACAATGGAATATCGAATAAAAAATAACGTGCAAAGTCTTTTTTTCTAGTTACATACCTTCTGATAATAACTAAACAAACTTGTGATTAGTTTATACCGAAATGTAATTCTACACGTTTGTTGATATCACTAACTTTGATTATTAAGTATATTATATATACGATTGTAAATAAAACACCACTTGAGCTTGCAATCAAATGCACATAACCAAGGAGAGTTATTTCCGAACAAATGTAATATTTATGTATATTTATCAATGCACGTAACCATGATTATTGAACAAGGAGATCAAAAACATCTATCCATAGATAAAAGATGAGTATAAAAGATAATCTATCTTGAAGTGACACAGAGTAAATTTCGCTACCAACCTTGTAAAAACTTGTCAATTGCATTAATTTAGCGACCTAAGAAAATTTCCTAAGGCGGATATACATCTGTATATGAAAATTTTGACAAGAAGAAGATAACAATTAACTATTAGCGAATCAAAGCCTTTTATCTCATTTTTATTCACAAAATTTTTGAAATAAATGACAAAAGTTAGAGTTTAACAATAATTAAAAGATAAGCAAAACTGTAAAACTAACAAAAATTAGTTTGAACTTACATCGAACTGAAAATTTACAAAATATTCAATCAAATTAATTTATCTAAATACTAAGAACCATTAAATAAAATTATATTATCCTTTTCTTCTATCATTGCTAATAACTTATAGTTGCGCAAATTTTAAGCTCTAACTGTCGGTGGCGAAATCTTTGCATTAGCCATGTTTGACAATTTAGAGCTTTCAAAATATTTACTTTGTTACCTTAGTTAAATAAAGAATATATGCGGTTGTACTTATTATAGACTATTTACGTCGAAACAGAAGTTATATATTGTTTGTAAAAAATGAATTTAAAATTGAAGTGGACAATGGCTAAATTATTAAACACATACAATGGTATTTCGAATGAAAAAATAATGTGCCATGTCTTTTTTTTTTAGAATATACATAAATTTACATACCTTCTGATACTAAACACACAAAAGTTCAATTAAAGCACACGGAAATGTAATTTCTATACTTTCTTGAAGTCACTAACTGCGATTATATTAGAAAACAAAACACCTTCGTTTGTGAAAAAATGCACGTAATCATAATCATTGAACAAGGAGATCAAACATGTACCCATAGACAAAAGAGTGTATAAAAGAGGATCTACCTTTCAAGTGGCACAGATTAAATTTCGCTACCAAACTAGACAATAGAATGAATTTAGCGAGATAAGAAAATTTCCTAAGGCGGATATACATCGGTGTATGAAAATCGTGACAATAAGAGGATGACAACTATCAGCCAATCAAAGCTTCCCCATTTATATTCGCAAAATTCTTGAAATAAATTGCATTAATAATAGTCGAATGAAAAAAGCTACGATCCTTGTTAGATATTAATTTCGAAGATAAGCAAAACTGTAAAATTACCAAAAACTTCAAACTGATAATTTATGATACTATATTCATATAAATTCATTTATTCTTAGTTGTAAGTGAAATTTTTGGATCAGCCATGTTTGATAGTATT